GGGTCTCTTATAACAACCTTTTCTAATATTTTAATGCCCCAATAGCATTCTGTATTCTGAGCATCTTTGGGGTGGATTCCGTAAACCCACCGCTTGTTTTTTAACATTAACCAGAAATGAAAAGAGATTTCGTAACCAAAGGTTTTATGGAAAAGAACTATAAACTCTACAAATTTAATATATCTCGCATTCATTAAATTGTAGAATTAACCAAAAATTTACGTTTCTTGGAGATTTCATCATATAATTAATTAGTTTGATTAAGAGAACAAGTTCAGCCTTTTAGATTACTTAACTTACAAAAATTGCGAAGATATATATATCGTCGTTTAAAGTACAAAATCGCGTATCAACAAAATGCAAAACCGCTTATGTGAGGTTGCATAAATTACTTTCTAGAGAGTAAAAACACTCATATTTCAAAATGGTTCTCTTTTTTTTAAAGCACTCGATTTCTGGCTAGTATATTTCAGGACGAATGAATAAGGATTGAACCAAGCGCTTTTGTGAGCAAATCCAATTTTCGGCAGTAAATGTCAGTTACGCGGTTTTGCAGAATGGCGATGTGCGGTTTTGTACTTTAAACGACGATATGTGTCTTTCCATTTTTTTTCTTTTTTTTTGGATACCAACTGTATGAGTTGGCCAAACTGTGATTGCATTTTCCCGCAAAACTAAAATTTCGAAATAATCTACTACCTAAAGAGTTAAAAGTTTCAATTTAGCTCTCTCTTTTGAAGCTTTTCTGCAACTGCGTGACCTTAAATGCTTTTAAAAACAACTTTTAAATAAATGCGAGACTTTTTGGTAGCTTCCGCAACTATTGCTATTGCTATATATTTAAACGGCTTCTCTTGATTATTTAATAAAATATGAAATTTGCCAACAAGGGCCATTGTAACATAATAGACACGTACTTGTATATATGTATTTATTTACTTCCCTATCTTTCATTTCAATCAATGTGTTCTTGACTCGTAGAAATTGTGCTTGATATCTAGAATCGTCACGCTACGCTATGTGGTAAATAGTCCCATTCATAAACATCGCGATAAAAATTTCGCACGCTTTCCGCCAAATTTTCCGCGTCCTACACATGCCATGAATTTAGAATTTAAATTCATTTACAAATTAACACGTCCACATCTATCTCAATAAAAGCCATTATTAAGATGTTTGTTACGCTGCGATCTTCAATTTATAAGCAGAGACAAATTCAAGTGATCAAAGATGCGAGCGCATACTTCATAAATCAACAGCAATAAAATGAAAATTTCGCGCATTCGGTGGATGTTTCGAAATTTCGTGTGCCAAAAAAAGTGATCTATGCTTCTCGCAATTAAAAAAAAAATGACAAATTGTTAGCTTCTATGTATGTGTTGTTGCTGTGCACTTCAAGTGTACATATCGGACAATGGTTAGATGCACAAAAGCTATTCCCGTACACACTCTCTGCTATCAGCTAGTCCATGCCACGTCTATCTGAAAGAATGAATAGGAAGCCAATCGAAATTGCAGTTTTCTTAGCATTCGTCTGCTTAAATAAATGCTTGTGGCAGATTGCAGAGCGCAGTGTTGCATGTTATAAATAACGCCAGCCACTTGTCAGAATCGGCAATGTTTCGTCACCCGACCCCGCCACGATCGTTTCGCGAAACTAACTAACAAACTAAGTACAAAAATATGTATGCTTCCGAGACTTTATGCCTGGTGCGTTGATGTGCCGGAATGGCGAAATTTTCAAAATATTTTTGGCTCTGTGTAGAACTTTTCATTTTCGCTAAGGAATTTCGCTAAATTTACATAATCGTTGTTGTATTTGAATTGTTTTTAGTAGTCGAATACAATAAAGTGACATGTTAATTCAAAACTATGAATGTTTGTATATATGTATATGTTCGTATATTTAGATAATACCTGCAGATTATGTGTGAACATACATATTTTTGTATGCATATAAATGTGAAGACGTTTAATTTTGTGATGTTAATGATCTTCGAGAGAGCTATGTATATGTATATATTAGCGTATAAGTTCTTTCAGGAATACTCGTACATTAATATATATGTACGTATTTACGTATGTGTGAACGCATTTTTAAATGTCATGTACCGACGTCATGTCTTTTCGTAAAAGATTCTAATATTCTCTCCGAGAGTGTTACAGAAATCGCCATTTAAGGTCACAGCAAAGTCAGTGAGAGCGAAGGCACTACGAAAAGAAACCAATATCGAAGAGAATAGTTAGTCATATATTAAACTAATGATATCTAGCAATGGCATCTGCCAAAGCAGTGCCCTATTATTTCCCTATGAGGTCCGAATCCCACGTGATGCAAGAATCCCGAACTTAACTTAAACCTGGTGACTACATGTACGAATAACAGCGCCTAACAGTAAGACAGAGCTGGTCTATATCAATATTCACAAGGAACAGAATCCGGTCACAAATCTCACCTCGATTGGAGGCATTGAGCCAAGTACTTCAGCCTGATTTTACGTAGGAAGCTTTCATGAAACCCTAACATTAGGAAGAGAGGGGGCGCAAGAGAGCTTGGGAGCTATTGATAAGAGATTAAGTCTTTCCTCCAAAGTAAGTCGCCTTCGTTAAGCCTATGGAGTTCTCGCCTTGTACAGCGGACTGTTTTGTTATTAGTTTTTTTTTTGCCAGATCAACACCACTCTGGCACTTAACGCCCTGTTAAACAACTTGCCCTTTGATATTTCGTGGAAAATTGCTGCAGAAAAATTTTCAATTATGCTCTGGGAAGCCGGATGCCTTATAAGCTAGGCATCTGGATTTCGTCTTTGATTACACGGATTAGAAGCCATGGGAGCAGGTGTTAGCTCCGCTGAGCACCAATGGCTTACTCAGCCAGTTCAGCTATCGGTAAACAAAAACTACTATATGCTAGCCAGGGATGGGACGAAGGCGATTAAAAAAGGCATTTACGTTTGCAAAGCTGAAGATATCGCATTTATTACGGGGCTCTGTTAGGCCACTGTTCGACTGGAATTCCCACGTTGCTAGGAAAAATCCTCACTGTTGCAGTTGTCTAGAAGAAGTTTTTAATTAAGTGTTTGAGTCTATGATTACAAAAAATCTTACAGATGGATGAAATCTTACAGATGGATGGAATGCAATAGATATTTGATTTTTTTGAAATGAAATAGAGTTCAGTAAAAGCCCTCCAAATCGGAGCTTGACCCCAATAATTAGCTTTAGTAGAAACAACATAAAACGGCGGGACGATATACTAAAGTAATTCCGGACAATCAATGACGGCAGCAGTCAAATCGTAAATAAACCCAAGGGAATGGATATTTCTCCTGTACTCAAGAGAATTTAAATCTATAAGTTTGCAACGGGCTATATAGCGGAAGAGGGCCAGAGAAACGAAGCGGCTGAAAGGCAATAAATTTCCTCTGGACCCGTTCACGACGGACTCTAGATACCCGAGGTATATTCAAGCTTTGAACGAACAAGAAAATTTTCTATTGGCGAAATATGACTGAACCTTAATTTGTGAAAGTTTGTGAGCGCTACTCACACAATGGTTGCCTAGAAAAAACACACATAAATACATATGTATTTAATTCAAAAGTCGGTATATTTAGTTAAGGTAGAGAAGCATTTTGAAAAGAGTTTTGTTTTTGTACTAAAACGGCAAACATTTGTAGCGCAAATAAAGATACTCGTAACAAAAACCTTCAATTAAGATTTCTACATATTTCTCTGGCATTTATTTATGAAAAGAAGTATCGATTATATCCAAAAGGAGAAGTTTTAAAACCAAGCCAAACAAACCCAAGAAGCCATGACAGGAATTTCCTGGGCTAATATGCAAGTGCCTGCCTTGAAAGCCAAAATTTTTTAAGCAAGTTTAGAGTTTCTTTATAAAGGCGCTTCGTTTTCAAAAGTATGAAGAGTCTGCGCTCTTTTTAAGGCTTCCCTTGAGGGTGTGTATGTGGCTCTGTTTTGATCCTGAAGCCGCTTGCAGATATTTTCAAAGACAAAACGGAAATATTTTAGTGCGCCACATTTGCCAGATGTAGGTATTTTTTGGTAAAAACTGTTTTTTTTACAATACCTACTGGTCGCCATAGATGAAGGATTACTTAACACAATCAGGAAAATAAATAGGATCAGATGCTTTGGATAATGTGCCAATTTACTCACTTTTCCGCATAATTAACTATAATAAATTCAATAGCCTTCTATAAACTTCGCAAATTTTAATCTGTATCTATTTTTTCTTTGATTAAAAGTTTTTCTCAAACTGATCAATATTTTCTTTTTTTCCTGATGTTATCTTTTCTTCTCGATATTTTACTATTTTTTTGAACACATAATTTCTTAATCGCAATGATCATTAATCAACGCGAGGGCGCATACAACTTGTCAAGCAAACGTACGTCTCACAATGTGTGGCATGAATGATTTGCCCTGCATGCCACACCATCTATGGCGATCGTGCATTAGCCAAGAGTGTTTTCTCACTTCGACGCCGTTGCATAGCGAATTTATATTTATAATCAAATCAAAACAAAGCATGAATGCGAGTAAAAATTATTCTTGATCCTGCGCGCCTACATATGTACGTCGACGGCCCTTTCTCTGGGTGCCGCTGTCCGCACACATGCCAAACAAATACAATGACATTTGAAAATTGCATTACTTCTTGGCAACCGAATTTTTGTGTCTCATTTCGAAGGCAATCACAATTCATCCGAATAGAAGATCATCTCACTCGGACGCCCATCAAAATGTCTTTTTCAACAGCAACATTTATTGTGTTCCCTGTGTTGTTTTTCTGTTGTTGTTGTTCGTTTAGTAATATCATAATGCAGCAGTTGTCGTAAGTATGTGAATGAGAAATTTGCGATATGTGACTGATAGTGTGTGAAGTGGCATCAAAATGAGATTTGCGGTTCGTGAGAGCGTCGACACATTCGATTTATAAGCCGTTGCGACCCGCACTAAAGAATCACTTTGGTTGCTGTCACATCGGAGTTCACACGTTGCTGCAGGCATTCCCGTCCACTGCTCGTTTGGATTTTGTGTGTTTAAGTAGTTACTGTCGTTATATTTGTGTAAGTGTTTCCCTTCAAAGCAAACCCCCTTCGGTTCGGTTCCGCTACGAACCGATCTCCCGGGCGCATATTGGATATCGAATTACCCAAGCTGATCAGTGTTCATTTGTGTGTCTTATAGCGAAAACTTATAATCGGCCAAAATGTGTGACGATGAACCATCTGCTCTGGTCGTGGACAATGGCTCCGGAATGTGCAAGGCTGGCTTCGCCGGTGACGATGCTCCACGTGCCGTCTTCCCCTCGATAGTGGGCCGCCCACGCCATCAGGGCGTGATGGTGGGTATGGGTCAGAAGGACTGCTATGTCGGCGATGAAGCGCAAAGCAAACGTGGTATTCTCTCCTTGAAATATCCCATCGAGCATGGCATCATCACCAATTGGGACGACATGGAGAAAGTGTGGCATCACACATTCTACAATGAATTGCGTGTGGCTCCAGAAGAGCACCCAGTTCTGCTCACCGAAGCACCACTGAATCCCAAAGCTAACCGCGAGAAGATGACTCAAATCATGTTCGAAACCTTCAACTCGCCCGCCATGTACGTCGCCATCCAGGCTGTGCTGTCCCTATACGCCTCCGGTCGTACCACTGGCATTGTGCTGGACTCTGGTGACGGTGTCTCGCACACAGTGCCCATCTATGAAGGTTACGCCCTGCCACATGCCATCCTGCGTCTGGATTTGGCTGGTCGCGATTTGACTGACTACCTCATGAAGATTCTGACCGAGCGCGGCTACTCGTTCACCACCACTGCTGAGCGTGAAATTGTGCGCGACATTAAGGAGAAGTTGTGCTACGTCGCGCTGGACTTTGAGCAGGAAATGGCCACGGCGGCTGCCTCCACATCGTTGGAGAAGTCCTATGAATTGCCTGATGGCCAAGTGATCACCATTGGCAACGAACGTTTCCGCACGCCCGAGGCGCTCTTCCAACCCTCGTTCTTGGGTATGGAATCGTGCGGTATCCACGAGACCGTCTACCAATCGATCATGAAGTGCGATGTTGATATCCGCAAGGACTTGTACGCCAACAATGTACTGTCTGGCGGCACCACCATGTACCCAGGTAAGTGCGGGAATTGGTTTTTATATACATACATACATATGTTAAATGCTCTTTCTTTGTGAACGCAGGTATTGCCGATCGTATGCAAAAGGAAATCACTGCCTTGGCTCCGTCCACCATCAAGATTAAGATCATTGCCCCACCAGAGCGTAAATACTCCGTCTGGATTGGTGGCTCCATTCTCGCCTCTCTGTCCACCTTCCAACAGATGTGGATCTCTAAGCAGGAATACGATGAATCCGGCCCTGGCATTGTGCACCGCAAGTGCTTCTAAGCAGTCGGTGCAGTCACCAAACCAACACCAACAACCAGCTGAAACGAAGCGCCCTAAACGCTGGACTGGCCATCATTCAGCTACAGCTTGTCAAGCCTTCTGGCTTGTGGAACACATACATATCTACACATTAATGAGAAGGAATAGCAAATATAAAAAAGGAACATTAAACACAAACCCACTCAAAGTCAATCCCTCAGAATTTCTCTGTTTCTTTTTTCACGCGATTCGATTTTCTTTGAATTTATTTTCTAGATTAACGCAGTATTTGTTTGTATGAACAGAAATAAATTTTATTTGTTCGCCAGAAAACAACAGCGAAGTCTCTTTACTGGCTGCAGTTTCACTTCAAATGGTGGGGTGGGGGTGGGGTAGAGGAAATGGTGGCGGATGGCGGGCAGCGTTACACTTAACCCGAGCAGCTCGGTGCGCTTACTAAGTAAGCAATGTTGAATGGTTTTTTTTTTAGGGTTTTGATGAATAAGTGCACGCATTTTAGCTGCAGATTTTTGGATGTAAACTTTTTTGTTGTTTGCCGTGAATATCTGTGCTAAAGCATCCATCCACATTCACCATTCACCACTCACCATTCACACACTCGCTCGCTCGATGTTGCAACATTAAGCCATCGTCAAGTAGTGACATTTTAAAATTTACAATTGCAACTTTTAAGTGTTGCTTCTTATTTTTATCGGGCGAACGGGGTAATAAATGTTGCCAAACTTTGTACTTGATGACTGCTTTTATGTGTAGGTCCAAAATGGCCCGAGTGCTGCTCGATGTTCGTGTGATGCATATGTATGAGCGCTACACGAGCCCATAAAATGGTGATGTGCATGTTGGTGTTGTTGTTGTACTTTTTGGTGTTTGTTATTTGGATGTTGTTATCCATGCGCGCCATTGATGGCTTCATAAATGCCACGGATACTGTTGTTCTTTGCCACATTTATGTTGCTTCGTAAGCTTTTTGATGGATTTCAAGTGCTTTTTATTCTATGTGTGTGTGTACATACATACATACATACATACTTTATTTGTAAGCGATAAGTGGCATAGCATCCCTCCAAAGCGCGTTCCCGTCGCTGATGTATGTAGGTCGTCAAGTTCGCAAGTTTAATTGGTTGGACACACTTTATGAAGCTAACAGTTTGGCGCAGGGGGGGCGGAGGGGGGCGCTTGCTCGTGAAAGTATTCGAAATTTCTAAGAATTAATGTTGTCATTTACAACATTTACTTTGCAACAATACAACGTTGCCTTATGCCACTTTATTTGTGTCCAGTGAAACGAGAAATTGCTTACATACTTAAATCTGGATTTATTCGAAGCATGTCTTGAATAATGCTGAGATTGTAATTTGTAGATAAGACTGCTTGAGTTGAGCTGTTTAAAAATGCTTTTTATTTTATTTTAGAAGTACTTTTAGTGTTCTCGATATAAATCTGCTGATATTACTTTGAGTTCTAGATTATTATCTTTTTAAAATTTTTCTGTTCAATCAGAAACTTGGATTTGAGCAGTTTGTGCGCTAAGTGGCCAAACTCTACTTCTGGTCACTTCAAAATTGATTAGTCGCTTTCTGAGACAAACTGATCACGAGCAAAACTAATTCAAATAAAATAATTAAGTTTGGCAAACGTTGGCAGCTTATTTTTAGTAAACTTTTTTTTTATGCAAAAGACAGAAATGGACTTCTTTTAGAATAGTGACTGTCAAAGCATAGCTCACAGGCACAGCCTTTTAAAACTTTCTGTGGATAAGAGCTCTTTGGTCGTCGATGTTGAGCGCGTCCATATAAAATCTATAGAAAGTATGATGAGCATCAGCAACCAAAGATAATGTATAGAAAGCTTTAAAAAGCTTTCACTAATTTAGATGCTGCCTCGCCCCTCTCCCCAGCGGTGCACTGCTGAATGGCGTGCGAATTGATTAAAACAGCGCTGACCAATTTAAAATTGTTATCAACATTTTAGGCAGCCTTCATATGAGAGACTAGTACTTAAATGGATACATGTCCCCTGTATTTAATTAGCCTTCCTATAACCTTTACATAAAAGTAATAAAAATTCATATAATCGTTAGTATTCTGAGGCCAAAAGTTACAGGCCTAATTTTGTTGAAATTTTAAGACCCCGTACACTTTTTAACTGAAAAATTTAAACATTTTATTTACAAAACCTTGAAAAAGAACTTTAGTTAGCGGTACAACAATATATATTTGTTGTTGGCGTGTGCTCTGTACTTTCTGATGCATCACGTTTGTCAAGATTTCCGGCATTACATTTTCGATGCCTTGGCGAATGTTGTTCTTCAGTTTCTGGAGGGGCTGCGGTTTGTTTGCGTAGATCAGCCTCTTTAAGTAACCTCACAGACAGTAGTCTGGGGCCATCAGATGGGCTGTTTCCGCTGGCCAATGGAGAAATCAAATGGCTAGGAAAAGTGTTACTCAGAATCTCCATGGTGTCGCGATGGCACCGTCCAGCTGGCACCAAATATACTCCAAAGAACTCGTTCAACATAATCAGGTACGATTCGCCAGTAACGTATACTGCGTTGCCATTCTCGTCTTCAAAACGGTTGGCCCAATCTCATGTTCTGACCAAATAGCGCACCAAGTAGTAGTTTTTTGTGGATGGAGTGGTGTCTCATGGGTAAGACGAGGATTTTTGGTTGCCCAAATCTGTGTATTTTGCTTATTTACATGTCCAGGGAGATGGAAATGTGCCTCGTCGCTCATAAAAATTTCTCGAAAATCAGGCGTTTCTGTATTCAACTGCAACTTTAATTTTATGAACGCATCTCTTTGGTCCAAATTCTTTGAATGGACCGTCGTAAAATGGCCAGTTGTGTCGTGCCTTTTCGCGTTAATGTTGATTGTTCCTTCTCGACACAATCCCTTACAGGCTAGATGCTCTCAATAGACTGGCTTTTTCGGGGCCGTTCAGGTAATTTCCGATCTCCGGTTGACCAAATATTTTCAGGACGGGCCACACGATTCGGATATTTGTTCCGAAATGCACTTTCAGCTAAAACCACTGACGATTTATTCCGCCTATACCTCTGTATTTCGAACCACAATAATTTTCGTAACTATCAGCTGTTTTAGCGTCTTCAAATAGGGTGCGCCACCTTGCATTATCGTATTGGTTAGGCAATTGCTAGCTATGCTAAGTGTCTATTAATTTGTCCTACAGCAATGCAGTAGTTCGCACGCCAAAACATGAACTTATCGATCTATTACCTGACGACGTTGTGTGTGTGTGGCTCGAAGCTGTGTATTAATTTTTAGTAAAATATCATCTAAAACCCATGCTAACTCCTGTGCATAATTTTTAACGCCGTCAACATTGTTGCAACCTTCCGCCATTAAGTTCGACAACAAAAACGAGGAAGGCAAACGAATAGTGTAAGTGCCATGTGCCAGAGGAAGTTTAGCGAAGGTTAAGTGAGCAGTTCATCAGAAAAAAATTGGCAGGATCTATGAAATAATGGCAACGCAAAATAATCGCTACAAAACTGTAACAATCGCTATAATGGCTGCAACACAATGCCAAAATGGAAAATAGAAATACATATACTAGCACAACATTAATAGCAGCAACTACAACAAAACACATCAGCATAAAGTAGAAAGCAGAAAGAAACAAATTTGGAAACGCTTTTTTACGCTAATTGTTTTTCCCCGAGTTTGATGCAAACTTTTTATTTTTATTGAACCATTAAAACGCATTTTTACAGCTACGACTATGGCGGTATCAAGAACTTGCAACACACATACGCACGTATGCATGTATGTGAGAGTGCAACAACAACAGCCCAATATATACAAAAAATAAGCCAAGCGAAGAGCAAGCGAATGGCAACTCAACTCAACGAGCATAGCCAAACAAGCCAGCGAATGCAGGTTGATGGTCCATTAAAGACAAAGATTCGAAAATACGAAGGTGCATGGAAGGGACGATGTACAACGCTGTAGGCAAACGGCCAGCATGGAGCCACTACTGGAAAAGGACTACTCTGGTGCGGTCATATCCCTAAGCAGTCGGCAGGCAGTAAGTAAGCAACTAAGGCCACAAAAAAATAATGCGCATTCACCAAAACTAGAAGCTACCGGGAGCGGGGGGGGGCCAACGGCAGCAACGGCTAAGGAACGACAGCAGCGTAAAGTGCACAACAAAGTTGTAAAACTGTTTCATTTCTTTATTTTTAGTATTACGCTTTTTTGCATTTGTTTTTGTATTTTGTAGTTATGGTTTTCTTAATTTTTCGAAAGGAAATAGCTGCCACAGGAGCGCGCGCACCACTGGTACACAGCAGCCAAAAAAAAAAAAAATCAAAGACCCGCTCCACAAACGCCAAACCGTTAACGCAGTGTACCGTTAGTCTCGACGCTCAGTGGAGCATGTAGTAGCGCATAAACTTGTGCGTCCGCATGTAAGTGCAATAAATGCTTGGCTACATAACTACATACATACCACCCCAGACAGCGGCCCAAGTGGTGAGCGGTGAAGGGCGCCTGGCCGCTTGGGGCCATAAAAAGGGGGAATACATTCTTAACTAGCGGCAAAGATGTCGAATATTGAGTTATGTGCGTTGTTTCGGCAATATAACGGTAATAACCGAATCGTTACAAAACGCGTAAGCAACAAACGCACAAATACACAAACACACACACGCAAGCATAGAAACTTATTTATTTAGTAAGCAAAGCTGGTGGCACCTAACAGGCAGCACGAAAATGGAGGGGAAGGGAGTGCAGTAGTGTGGTGTATAGATTAAGAGAGCTGACTGAAAGCTTGCCACTCCGCGGCCATCGAGCAGCTCGAGCCGCATTCCAGCGCAGTGTGGCGCGGTGAGAAGCTGTGTAGTTCGCTGATAGCTAACTTTCTCGTTCAAATCTTCGTTTTTTTTTTTTGGTATTTTCGCCACTCGCTGATAAAGCTTTGAAGAATGTTTGGCGCGAGCGACTGGGGGTATTTGGGGTTGATGTTGCAGTTACGGCCGTAAGGTCATGAATTTGCCATTTTACAGCCTCATATTTTTCTTAAGCGCACATCCGCCAACAACTTTTTTTGTTATTGTTGTTAACCCCGCGCCGCCACTGTAGCTATAATAACGCTTAAACTTTTTAGTGTTGTCATTAAATTTTTCGTGTAAGTAGCGGTAAGCAGCACAGCAACAATTCGGTGATAGTGCTGAAGGTGGCGGGGGCTAGAGTGACAGCAGCGGGATTACCGCATAGGCGGGGAGTTGGCGGCTGG